CAAAGCAGCTGCCGTATCTCTGCAGCAAACCCCAACCTCACCTGTAATAGAACCCCCCTCACAGAACCGCCAGTTCCCCCCATCGGTGACACCCATGGAGGACGGGGCTAAATGGTTCTTTGACCCATCACTCTTTGTTCCATTTAGGTGGGTTTAGAGTGAAGACACTGAAGGGACGGGTGTTGGAATATGTGTGTTTATTTTAGGAGAGTTTGGCTGCAAAGGAAAGCAGGGATGGAGCCACTTTTTGTTATCTACAGTAATGTAAAAGCATAAAAATAACACTTGAGTGCAGGGACTGAGATTATGTGACTCTGGGAGAAACTCAAGGGGAACTTGGCAAGATAAATGCAGGTGTGGTGATAAATCCGTGGCGGGGGGAAATTGCTTGGGAGTATTTTTCTCATGGGCAGAGAATGAATAACTAAAAAGTGGATATAGAGAAAAGCTACTGACAGGAATTTACTGCTGATGTATCGGGGTGCATAAACCATGAAAAAATTGTAATAAAATTTATTTTTGTACCACACGGGGTCCGTGCCCGAGTGTGTCAGGTGGAGGCACAATCCAGCTTCCCAACGTCTCCTGCCGTGGGCAGGGAGAGCTGGAAAGGGTCTTTTTGGCAAACCCACTTGTTGTCATTGTCACAGACATCAGCATCCAAGCTCTTGCCTTTCAGGGTCCCACACCCTTCATCCAGCTCCGGCAGGACCCCAAACCTGCACAATGAAGGGTTTATTGGCTGAGAGGAGCAAAGTGCCCCATGACCCCAAATGTGCCCCATAACCAACCCCAAATGTGCCCCAGGGCCCCGACTCTGGGTCTGCAGAGTGTTTCCAGAGGAATCAGAGACCCCTGCATGGCCCCCAGCAATGTGTGGACGTGGATCGGGGTCTCAAATGGACCAAAGCTGCTTTTTTACCCCCCCAGACCTCGGACACTCACCTGTGGGGGTCGTAGGGGGTGTTGTCCACCCATGTCCACTTCTTCTTCCGTGACCTCAACCCGACCCACACCGACTGCAGGATCCTGCCTGTGACACTCTCCTGGGACGTGGAAGGGACCAGTTGCTCCAAAAAATCTCTCTGTGGGGAGTTCCATGAACAAACCTGACCCCCCAAATCCGTGGGACACGAGCGTCCCCGTGCTCTGAACCCCAAACCCTCCTGCTGCTGGAAGCCTTTTGCCCCCCTAAAAACCCAGGACTTCTGGGTCCTTTCCAAGCCTTTTCCTCCCTGTTTTACCATTTCTGCCTCGTTCTTGAGCACCACCAGCTCGGAGCCCTGATCTTCGCAGCTTTTCCTGCCCCGGGTCCAGGTTCCAGATTCCTTGGAGAGCCGGTAGCATCTCTCCCCACGGAGCTGCCAGTCCTGGGGGCACAACTTGCAGCCAGCAGGGGCTGGAGAGGAGGAAAGGCCACGAATGAGACACCCCAAAGGTGAGTGAGGTCTTCTCCAACCTCCCAAATCGAGGCATCAACCCTCGAGTTATTTCCCAGTGTTGTGGTTTTTCTGCTCTGCCACCACAGAGGAGGAAGAAGAAGAGGAGGAAGAGGAGGGAGAAGATGCAGTTGGGTGACCATAAGGGCACAGTGGGTGTTTGGGGAGGAGGAAGGGTGGTGAGAAACATCCCCCCTTGGGCTGACCCTGCTCCTCCAGGGAGGAGGTGGGACCGCCAAAAAATCGCACGGAAAAGAGAAAATTCTCCCTTAAAAATGCTCCTTTTTGCCCAAGAACCCTCGGTGCAGGAGACAGAAGCTCCCCAAGGTCCCACCTGAGCCTCTCCCAGCAGAGCCAGGTGGGGAAGGGGTCTCACCTGGGGGGCTCTGCCCCTGGGGCTGGCAGAGGTACCGCACCAGGGATGGGAAGATGCTTCGCTCCGACTGGTTCCTGTCCTGGATCTCGACTCTGGGGTCACTTTCAGGACCTGGAGAGCCCTGAAAAACTGGGAGCAGAGACCCGGGGTGAGGAGCTGAAGCCAAACCACAAACCCCAAACAAAACCAGGTTGGGTTTTGCCTCTCCGTTAATGAAGTTGGACCAAAGCCCACGAGTCTTTCCCTCCTCCCTTGTTCTGGGTGTGATCCAGTTGTGCCCAGAGGGGGTTTTACTCTTGGCTCTCGTGCCTGCACCAACCCTCCGGGGCCTGAACCGCTGCAACAAACCCAGATTTCCGCTCCCAGGCCTCTCCTCGCCGGGGTGTGAGGTGGAGATAAGAGCTGGTTACTCACCCCTCACGCTCAGGACCACCACCAGCACCAGCAGCACCAGGTGCCCCAGCGCCCCGGCTGCCAGGAGGACTCTGTGCCACCACGGGCACGGGGCAGGAGCTGGAAAAGGCCACATTTAAGCTTAAAAAATATAAAAAAACACGAAGAAGATTGGGGGTTTAGAGAAAAAAAAAACCCTCTGCTGAGCTGCGAGTTCGAGCAGAAGTTTCTGGTTGCTTCGCTTCCTCCAAAGCCATAAATCCCCCCCTGACAGGGCTCGAGCACCCCTGGGGGGGGATTGGGGGGCTCAGGGGGTGCAGCAGCCTCGGGAGCAGCCTCGGGGACCCAGGGACAGAGGGGAAGACCTGGGAATTCCCAAAATGGGCTCAGTTTCCAGTTGGGAGTTGGTGGCCGTGGGTCCCTCCAGCCCTCGACTCCTCGGGGGTCCGGACGGGGCTCGGGCCCTTCCCTGCCCTCCCAGGTTTGGTGGCTCCCCCGGGGTCCCTTTTGGCCACCAAGTGAAGGGTCTGGGAAACAAAATTCTTCCAGTTCTGGAGATTTTCCAGCCTCTCCTGTCCCTGGACAAGCCCAGATCCCATTTTAAAGGGAGCCTGGAAACCCTGAACGTGGGGATGGAGAAGCAAAGGAACCCCAAAGGTAACAGACCAGAAACTCTTCCCAGGGCCCGAAACAAGCCTTTTTTCCCCCAAAACACACTCACCAGGACATTTCTCAGCCGGGGAAGGCCCGTTCCCAGGATGTCTCAGATCGGCATAAACGATTTCCCCGGCCATGGTGGCTCTGGAGGTCGTTGGTGCGACCAGAGAGCGACACCGACCTCGGACACCTTCTCACCTCGTGACCAGCGCGCGTCCGGTCCCAGGAAATGGCACCAACCTGGCCTTTTATCTGCTTCTTTGTTGTTTTTTTTTAAACATATATCTCTATATATTTAAAAGATTTCCTGGGGAAAGGGGGCCTGTCCCCAGCCAGGAGGAGGAGGGGGCTCACCTGGAGGTGCAGGGT